AACGATTTCCCCCATCATGTAGGTATGGAACAACTACAACAGTTTCAAGGGTTTCAGATTTTGAATAAGGCATAAACCAAGTTCCAAGTTCACCACCTCCCCTGATCAACACAGTCTCCATCGAACAAACGATAGAGGTCGAGAAAACTTCTCAAAGAAATGAGGATCTGTTCCTCAGCCAGGAATAATCCCAAACATAGCGTTCTCTACCGAATAATGAAACGCTTAGCTCACTCGACTCTCCCGACTAATAGTGTTGGTCATCACGTCAGCTCTTGGTCGCATAGCTAACCGTGTCGACAGTCCTAAATGATCTTCCAAAGATTACGATGAACAAAAATCAAAAGCGAAGACGGCCCTGCACTTTACGATGTGCCTGCACCTGGCACGGCTACCCTCCTTAAAAGATTCTCAAAATCTTTTAAGGTGGAACAACACTTCTCGACTCCCCAACTTCATATTGAATTAGAGGCATCACAAAACAAGATTCTCAACTTACGAGGATAGATAAGAATCATCAAAGAATTAAAATGTTTAACTCCATCTGAAATCTCATCCCATGCAAAGGAAGAGAAGGCAAACAAAATTTCAAAGTACTGAAATTGATCAGAATCACAAACACAATTCAAAACTGTCTACCACGGGAAAGGAAAATAAATGGAAATCTGCAAAGTTTCCGAGAAAGCAACAACTTAGGAAAAGAAAGCAAGACTGATGTGGCTACACGAGTCCACGATTTACTTCCTCCACAGTCGATTCAAGTCATCCCCAGTTAGTCCTGCTATCGATAATGGTCCTGGTCTGAAGACACTAAGCAGCACTTTTTAGCGAAAGAACTGCCAAAGTCTGAGCTTAATACGACATAATACTCATATATATATGCCACAATTCTAGAGTTCGCCAACAAATACTAGAGTTCAAGCCAATCGAAGGTGGATAGATTTTCCTAAGCCCCAAGACATAACACATAGTTTAAATAAACAATCATCTCATAAATAATCTCAGCATTATTTATGACTTACATACCTCAAGCGGTGCGGCATGACGAGGACGAGTGGTCAATGCGTATACTCATATATTCATAAATGCACATAAATCACATTGAGCAGTCTACAGAAACGCAGTCTGGCTCTGATACCAAACTGTAACGCCCCACTTTTATTTTGACGAAAGTCAAAAGTCAACTTAAATTTTTCAGATTTCTTTTCATAAATCAGTGGCGCTACTCGAACTAAATCACATAAATAACGTAAATCATAAATCAAATGTTTTCATAAATCCCAAGTTCATCCAAATTGTTCATAAGAGAACATCTCCCAATCCAAAGTTCTCAAAATTCCAAAGTCATAAATCATAAATACCAAAGTTCCCAAGTCATAAATAAGCATAAATAAACCCAAGTCTACTAGCATGCGGAATAAACTAAATGAAGTCAGTCAAAGACCAACACCACTCGTCTCTGTCTCGTCAGCCAACACCTGCTTAACCTGCATCCATGCAGAGCAAGTGGGAGTGAGCACGGTGAACTGTAGTGCTCACTACTATGCACATGAACAATAATATAGTACGAGAAATTAAATGGCATGGTCACTGTATGAACATAGTCAATAAATATCCCATCTCCTAACCAAAGTAATTCTCATGTGCACACCTATAACAATAGACTGCTGCTCGTATGCCTTTCGGCGAACATAAATGGGGTGCCCAAACAGCAGGAGGCTCAACCATCACAGCACGCACCTAGTGCTGAAACAGGATATCCATCACCGGCCAGGGCACATTGCCAAGGTCTTACGGATGACGTGGTCCTTAGCAAAGGACAAACATGGAGATTACCCTTGTGGGGTACGTTCTATAGCTACGGGGATAACCGTTCGACGGCCGGTACAGCTCACATCGAAGGTTACATGCTCACATGCATACATTGATCATAGCCACATAAATAAAGCAATTATCATTCAAGGCATAGACAAATTTTGAATAACCCACCTGGATACCGAGATATAGCCAAACACAGGGTTGAAGGAACAATGGCAAAAGTTCAGCTAGATGAACCTACAACAATTATAATAGCCTATCAACTGACTATCCAATCCAAGACAACACACAAAGCACATATACTTAGTCGAAATCATATCGACTAAGTGACTCGTGGATTCCTTGACCGAGTTAAGTACTTTGGAGCGACTACTAGACTTGAACACAACATATATACCTCAGGTAAAACACATAAATTACGCCAACATCAATAAAATCCAATCAACCTGAAACATTACCACATCACAAGGCATACAAAAACAAATAATCTCACCAAGTTTCAGCCCTAAATTCATCTGGGAGCATTTTTAAATAATTTAAGCAAAAACAGTGTCAAAACCCGACATTAATAGTTCATATAGTTACACTTCGAATTTTAATCCAAACTTTTGAGACAACACAGATTACCACAAAATAAAATACTCCTCAAAGTTTCAGCTCAAAACACTTAGTGTACGATTTTAAATGATTTTTACAAAATTCTGACCAGAAACCGATTCAATTAATTAAAATAGCTACGTACGGAGTTTCGACTTGAAAATTTTACACAACTTACAAAACCATCACAGAAGATCACATATAAAATTTCACGGAATTCGGACAATCACACGATTTATCATGAATTAATTACGATTCAGCAGCATACTCGATTTAGAAAATTCATAACTCGGCATATACACATCGAAACGACCCCAAACCAAAACCAATAAATCAAGGACAACTCCAAATACCTATAACTCCAGGATTTCCACGAAAAATATTACTTGAAACTCAGTTCGATAAATAACCAAAGTGACGGCAATCACTTTGATATCTAAATCGCATATACATATCAAAGTTCATACAAACACATATCCAAGGCACGTAATTAACTCGTAATTCACACGATCAGCACATTGACACGTAATAAATCACAATAACACAATCATGAAATTAAACGAGATGGGGTTCGAGGCTAGGTACTGTTCTCGAGAAAACGCGAACGAAAGAATCGAAACGGGACTTGACGGTCGATCCACGAGTGCCGGCGGGGCTCGACGGCTAAGCTTCGACTCGCTCGGGGTGCTGCTGGGACACCGCCGGGATGATGCTCGCACAGCGGTGGTCGTCGGAAAGCCCGAACAGTGGCCACGAGCAACAGGGCTGAAGTATGATCGGAAAGCGGAAACCTGCCGGGGCTTGCGCACGGGAGCAGGGACCTGCTGGTGGTGAACTCAGAACTTCGCGACGATGGTGATGACGATAAGCAGCGGTAACAACGGACCCACAAAGGTTGATGATGGTGCTTCCCGTAATGGATGATGATGGCGTTCTCTGTTCTGGTACTCGCGATGGGGTTGAAGCTTGATGATGATGAAGGTGATGGTCGTGCGAAGATGATGATGGTGGCGAGGGCAGCCTGCTGGTGACCTCACGGTGAATTTGATGATGATGATGGTCGTTGATGGTCGATGATGGCGAGCAGGTTTCTCTCTTATTCTATGCTCTGGTTTTTCGATGCTTTTTTTTTTGGAACAGCGAGAGAGATAGGGAAAGATGAGGGAACAGATTTTCTGATATCTTTCTTCTGATTGCGTGAGAGAAAGAGAGACGAGAGATTGAACAAAATAAAAAGCTGCGGGAATAAGAGATTGATGAAAGCTCACGGTAATTATAAGTTTAGAGTTTAGATAAATAGCTTCCCATCCAAGCAAGGAGAGCGGGTCGGTCCGGGTATGGGCTAGGACGCAGGTCCTTGGCCCAGGGCGCGCGACTAGTGGGTTCGAGGCTCACGGGCCGAATTATCGGTTCGACAATACTAAATAATCGAAGCCCGACACGAACGTTCGGTAATTAAAATGAAATGGGATGTAAATATATATATATATTTATATACATATATATATATAATACACACAAATAGTATTTATTAATAATAAACATTTAATCACATAATCACATTTAGGCAATTTAGACATTTAAAATAAATAACAATAATATTTATTTAATAATAATTGGTATTTAAACAATTAGACATAATAATAATAATAATAATAATAATAATAATAATAATAATAATAATAATAATAATAATAATAATAATAATAATAATAATAATAATCATCATAATAATAATAATAATAATAATAATAATAATAACAACAATTAGGCATTTAATAATAACAATTATAATTATAACGAAATAAATAAATAAATAAATAATCTCAAATATATCGCAAATAAACGGGGCATTACATGGGTGTTCATGAGGTTTCATATTTTTAATTTTTTTTTTTTCTTGAATGCACGAACATTATAGTTAGACGTGGCCACGGGCCACCCAGCTCGGAACAGACCCGGCCTGGTTAAACCCGTTGACCACGGGTCTAGGCCCAACTCGAATTTCAATCCGGTCAGTCCGTGGCATTGTTTTTGTCGACCTTGGCTTGGCGGGCCGGGCCGACAGGGAAGAACGCATTGTTTTTAATTTTTTTTTTCTTTGTTTTTTATTTGAGCGGGCCCAGACCCGGCACGACCTAAGTCCGTGCCGCTTTACGGTCCTTGAAACCCAACCCGTCGCCCCACCGGGCCGGGCCTGTTTTGGCCATGTCTAATTGTAGTTGTCGACTCCACTTTCGGCTAAATTGGATGAAGGTAATCCAACGAGTAAGGTGCACAAGAAGGCCAAGCACAAGAAGAATCAAAATGAGCAAAAATGTAAATATGTATCCCAAGAAAATTAAGTTGAGGGCAAAACTAGAAGAAGGTACTTCGAATCCGAAATAACATTATAAAAGGAAATTGGGTTCATGATCCATGATGATTCAAACAAATACTTACATTCCCCAAGTCAGCAGAAAATTAACAAAAAAAGTCATAAACAGATAGCATAAAAGATTCACACGGGCTGATCCGAAAAAACTAACAACAATCAAGACCTACGAAGAATACCGTACTAAACACACTACACTCGACCAAAAATATCACCAATCTTCACCTTCCAAGGTAATAGACTCCGACCTGGGAACCGCACTCCTACCATCAACCAGAACCAGACTCTCCATATACATCTCCACGTGGAACGAGCCCACGGCCCCACGAGTGCACAGATTGTTCAAGAAATCCTGGCCCGGATCATAACAGTAAAGCTTGTTACGGTCTATGGTGCCCATTATGCTCCCATTGTCCGTGAACCCCACGAACAAGAAATATCCCGGCATCGTATCCACATGGTACAGCTTCCTCCACGACCCCACCTCCCCATACTCCTCCATGGCCCACACATCAGCGATCCCCTTGACCGGGGTGTGGTCCTCTACAAGGGCAAGCTTTTCCCCGAGCACAGCCAAGTGAGAATGCCACCCGTTTACACCCTCGGGTAAGCCTATCCCGTCATTAAACACCTCATTTCTCAAATCAAAACAACCAATTGAAGATGACCCGTTCAGCCAATGCAAGCATCCCCACACGAAAGCCTGATTGGCATCATCCAACCAATAAGGAAAAGGTCGCTCATCTATATTTAAATTCCTCCAAGACCCCGACTTAACCGTGTATATCTCAAACACAGGACCCGGCTTAGGCGGGTCAACACGCCGCTTTTTCCCGCTTCTGATTCCAACCACATATGTAATCCTCAACACCTTGTAGTCGTCTGACCCGCAGTCATACCCGAAAGCGACCACATACGAGAAATTAAACACCTTGAGGGATTTGAGAGACAATTGAGGTTTGGGGAGGGTTAAGTACCTTTTGATTGACGGGTTCCAGAGTATAATCCCACGAGCGCGACGGTAACCCTCATCGGACAAACAGATCAACCCGTTGCTGGCTCCGATTACCTTGAAATGTTTGTAGCATTCCGACCTAAATGGGAAATCGATTTCTCGAATGTCTTCGAGGTATTCGAGGTTATTGGGTATGAGCGCGTAGTGCTCTTTTCGCTTGGATTTTTCTCTTCCCCTAAGGTATCGAACGAGAGGGATTTGATTTTGCTTGGAGATTGCGAGGTGGTCGGAAATGAAAGAGGGGCTGCGGATGATGTAGTCGAAATACTTACAGACCGACCGGATTCCGATGAGCGTCTTGACGGGTAGCCGGAGGAAAACGTTGGCCCATACTTCCTGAGGAAGATAGTCCGACATTTTTAGGGAATTGTGTTTTCTTGTCAAGAGATTGGAATGAAGGAATGAGAAGAGGGTTTACACTTTATAGCGACTGCGCATATACAGTTCTTAGTTCGAAATTTTCACTTGGGAATTCGCTCTTTTCCCTCCTCCCTTTTTTCATTTTTTTTTTTTTATTATTTATATTCCTTTTACACCGAGTTTCCCAATGGGGGAAATCATATGGTAGGGCTTCATCTTTAGGTATTATGTTATAATAGGGCCTGAATTTTTAACTTTTTCATTTAAGGGCTTGAATTTTAAGTTATTTTTCATAAAAGGCTTACTTTTACATTCTAATTCTCAATTTAAGACTCCAACTAACTTTATATTTTTACATAAATATATAATCCAAATACTATTATTTTTATATTTGTATTTTAAATAATTATGAATGTATTTAGTAAAATTACTTTAGTATATTTTTCTAAATAGTTTATTTTTTAATTTTATCACATATTTAGATTAAATTAAGTTAAAATTTTATTTTTTAACTTTTAAAATAACTTTCATTAAGCTTTTGTATAAATGTAAACTATAAAATAGTTATATTTTTAGGTAATTTCACTAAGATATTTAATATTTCTTTATTATATGTACTTGATTTTAAAAAAATATTATGTTTTACATAATTTTGTTAAAATAAAAAGAAATTTAGAGACTTAAATTGAAAAGTAGAATGTAAAAGTAGGCCTTATATTGAGAATAATTTAAAAATGAAACCCTCAAGTGAAAAAAGTTAAAAATATAGGCCCTATTATGATACAATACCTAAAAATGAGGCCTTATAATATAATTTCCCCTTTTTCAATGTACTAGTTTTTCAATGTAGTAGTTTTAAAAATGATGTTAACTTATAATTTAAATAAATAAAAAATAATAATACATGTGAAGAGATTATGTTGCCATACATCTGAATAAAAATAATCATTATATTTTAAAGGCAAAATAGTTCATTATATCACAACCTTTTACTAAATTGCTAAAACATCACGACTTTTGGACCTTGGCGGAGAATATCACAACCTTTGATTTCTTTGCAAAACGACACACGAAAGTCGAAAACCGATCTTTGTTACATTACTTATAATCATTTAATGAAAATCTGAAAGTATCATCACCTCCGAAACACTCTTTATTGTTCTCAATAGTTACAAATCTTCCCCCATAGTGTATCAAAGATGGCCGGTTTCTGACTTTTGTATATTGTTTTACAAAGAAATCAAAGGTTGTGATATTCTCCGCCAGGGTCCAAAAGCCGTGATGTTTAAGCAATATGGGAAAAGGTCGTGATATAGCGAGCTATTTTGCCTATTTTAAAATATTTATTAAAAAATATAACATTATTAGTGAATGAAATGTAATCATTATTGCCATTATCTTCATAAATAATAATCATCATACAACATGGATCTGTGACTACCAAAAAAAAAAAAAAAAACATATAATGTGATCTATGACTATAGAAAAAGTAACATATATGATTCTGACAACATTTGTGATATGCGATGAAAATTAGTATTTGTCACATTAATAACACTCGAAACTTTTTCCTAAAAATGTCTTGATAATAACATAATTTTTTCTTCGTTTGTGAATAACTAAAGACATTGTTACTAATATATAGATAAACTGTTATAGAATAATTGAAATAAACATACACAAATATGAGTCAATTAAAGTTAAAAAAAAATATAAAACAACTACTTAAGAAAAAAATTCAAAAATGACTCAATTTCGAATTGCATGCACATAGTTTCAAATTAGGTGCACATATCTTTCACTTTTTTTAGTGGAAAAATAAATCATAATTTCATTTATTTGCAAAATAAGTTCGATGGTGATCAGAATTACATGCAAGATAGAATCACCTATTGCAAAGATATAAATATGCACAATATTCGCTAATGTTTATGTGAATACCAAATTACTTATTTTATGCATGTAATTTATACATAATGTAATTTAATATAATTTTTAGAATGATGTTGATAGAGTTTTCGTAAAATTATAAGAAAAAAAAATCTAACTTATATTGTATAAACTATATAAGAGTAAATTTTATTTTAATGAAAAAATACTTTTATGATATATTATAAGAAAAAGTAGTTGATGCATTATATAGCTTTTAAAGATTCAGTAGCGATAATATATTCATGTCATCATTTTAAGGAAAAAAACATGTGTATAATAATAAAAATTCACAATAGTTACACTTTATGCTATTTTTAATCATAAAAATATAGTTCATAATTGTAGATCAATTAAAATGCAGGCAGCCATTTAATCACAAACTTTTACATGAACTCGAATTTGAGTCTAAATGAAACAAATGATATCAACTAAAAATAAAGTAATTTAAACAAACTATGTCTTTTGGGATCTATTCAGTCATTTAGGACCATAACCTAGACATGGGCAGGGGCAGAATCGGCCCGTGGCCCGACCTGTGAATCGGTACCAGCCCGAACCGAACTGGCACCAGCACCAGACCGAAATCGCGTGGGCCTTTGAACCGCACCGGGGCTAATGTAGTTCAGTCACGGTTCGCTGGTTTTTATTTTTGGCACCGACAGGCCGGGCCGGGACCGGTCGACCCGCAGCCGGTTTTCGGACCCGTGTTTTTTTAATTATTGGATGGGTCGATTCGGATTGGCCCGACCCGACCCGTCTGACAGAAAAACAAACGCGCCTGACAGTCACAGTGGATACAGCCGTTGGGTCCGCCGGGCCCCGGGTCGGACCCAACGGTCAGATTTTTTTAAAAAAAAAGGAAAAAAATTGGTTGTTGGATCATATAGCTGTTGAGATCCAACGGCCCTCCCATGCCCGCCCGCGCCCGACCCGCCGGGTCCCAAAAAAAAAAAAAACTTAAAGTAAATCCTATAGATACACCCCCCTTCCCCCTCATTTTCCCACATCAAAAATCTCATCTCTCTCTAATCTCTCCTCTCTTCTCTCTTTCTCTCATTATCTCTCTCATTTTTTATTTTCCTAAAAGCTCGGTTTATAGTATTGTGCTCGATACAAAAATATATATATATATACATAAAAAAATCTTTTATTTTATATTTTATATTCTACATTATTTTTATTTTATATTTTATTTGTTTATTCTAATTATATTTTATACACATCTTTTCATCATATTCTATATTTTTAATTTATATTAAAGATGTCAACTTCTCGTGGTGGTTCTCGTGGTGGTTGTCGTGGTTCGACTTCCGGAAATAAACGGAGAAATGTCGGCACGTCTTCTTTGAGACCTCCACTTCCGGAATTTACCAGTCCATCCATATATGTGAATTTTCTTGCTGTCCCAAATGATATTGATGATGCAACGATAGAAGCCCTGTTTGACTCAGTTTAGTCCGAACAGCAAGAGTCCATGCAGCAGCCTTATCACGACCATTTAGATGATCTATTTGGAACAAGCCCAGAGGAGACCGAGCAAGAGACGCAGCATGAGCCAGATAGGCACGACCCATCCTCTGTCTATGGCCGTGGTCCGAGTGGAGGTGGCAAAGCGGGGTCCACCATCTTCCAACGACATTACAAGAAGATCCCAAATCCGAAAAAAGGTCTGGATCATTTTTTTGCAGTTTGCAACCATTTCTTGTCCAATTCCAAGAAGCAGTATCATTCAAAAAAGGTGATGGGTACGGATCCTTGAACCGACGCCTAAAGAGTTGTCATCCGCATATGTTGGGAATCGACACGGCACAAACATAATTCTCCAGTAGCAGCTCTGCATCCGCCACTGGTACAAGTACGCCACCTTTTTTTCATTACTCGCATGATAATCATAGACGTCATTTAGCTGAATTTGTTTCTGCTTCATCTATTCCATTTAGTTTTGGTGATAGTGATTTGTATGAACATTTGCTCAAATGGCTTTGAATCCGGCTACCACCCAGGTTCCACGTACTACTCTTACTCGCGATATTCGAAAAATAGTTAGTGAAAAAACATTAATTTTGCAAGAAACTTGCAAATCTTTAAACCGTAGAGTATCTATTTGTGCTGATATATGGTCTGATCATTGGCAAACTAACTCCTATCTGGGAGTTACTTGTCATTGGATTGATGAAACTTGGAGTTTGCAAAAGCGTTTAATTGCTTATCTTGCATTTCATGAGCGTCACGCTGCATCTAATATTGCTCGTTTAATTTCTCAGTGTTGATGTCACTAGACGCTTTCAGAGAGGCGCTCAAGCCCTGCAAAATAAGCTTATCGTCCTCTTTCAAAACTAGACGCTTTCAAAGAATCCGATAAGCTTATTTTGTAGGGCTTGAGCGCCTCATTGAAAGCGTCTAGTGACATCAGTACTGAGAACGGGATTTGGCTTCCTCCTTCGTGCTCAGGTTTTTATTTATTCGAGCGTAACTGATTCATCCCTCATGTCATTCTTTGTAATTTGAAACTAATAAGAAAATCAGTCCTAACGTTGTAAATGGTCCTAACTTTGACTGTTTTTATTATAGAACATCCTTACAAAATTTAAGTTATAATAGAACTACGTGGACTTTGATTCCCAATATAAGGGATACGTAGGCAACTTAATTGACATATATTCTCGATAATTAGTAAATGTCAATTATGCTAAAGTTCATATTTGACATACAATAAAAGTACATTTTTTTTTTTACAAATCACTAGAACTACTGAATAATAGTATAAAACTAATGTGAAGTGCCGACGACTCGATTGCAGGCTTACTATTGCGTTATTTTGCAATCATTTCATCGAAATTGAGTTAGAATTCAGATGATAAATAAGTATCTATCAGTGCTTTGTTGATTGTGGTATTGCAGACAAAATTTTAATTTCAAATTGTAATAGATAATAAAGAATATTGACATGGTATCATTGTCCAAAATGAAGATGATGTTCAAACATTAACGACATGTACGACTGTGGTGTCATGTCAATAGTCTTTAATATGTATTATGATTTGAATGATAAATTACGGCTGTGA